GCTTCTAGAGTTATGATTGACTCAAGGGTGTGACCGCTACACCTGCCCCGGAGCAGGTAGTTTGCATATAATGTAAGGGAGGGAAAGAGGCTGCTTGCCTCTGCTCCTCCCCTTGTGCTCTTGTTGCTTTTGCTATCTTCTGGCTCCAGGAACTATTGCCCTCTGCCATGTGCCACTCTGCCTTGGAGCCAACCGAATATGGACTGAAATCTCCACAATCTGTGAGTTAAATAAACCTTTCTTTCCTTAATTTGGGGCACTGGGTATTTTGTCTCGCAATGAAAGAAAAGTAACCAAGACAGGGGGCTCCCCACACCACTTCACAGATGAGGATAGGGAGCTCCAAGGAGCAGAGTGACTGGCTCCAGGTCCCAGAGGCAGGAGTTGAACCCCAGATGCACAGCATGCAAGGGCCAAGGCTGCTAATCACCCTGTCATACTGCCCTTCAGAAGAGACCATCACCCCCAAGAGACTAGAAGAAGACCAAGAGTTTCCTGACGCTGCCTGCTGCCCTTCCTACTTCCTCCTCCTTCTCTGGCTTCCTGAACATGGAGCTGCTGGCTGTACAGGGCCACCAGCTGCCCACTCACCCGCCCACAGGGGAGGTCACGCTCCAGGTCAGGTCCCGGGGTCCAACTGACCCCACATGATGGTAGCCACAGGGTTGAGCAGGTGTGTTGTCCATTCAGCCACTCTCACTCCTTTGGACGGGGCTGGGCATGCCCAGCCCCACTCCCCTGCCCCCACCTCCCGCCCCAGAGCAGCCAGCCTGGACCACAGAGCCACACACCAGACACTCACCATAGACTTGCAGGGTCACATCCCGGCGGTCTTCGCCCACAGCACTCACGGCCACGCAGGAGTAGCTGCCTGAGTCAGAGGTCCGGGCACTGGCCAAGGCAAGGACCCGGCCCCCAGGGAAGACCTGTGACCCCAGAGTGAAGCCTGTATCAGGAGGTCACCTGTGCTTTTTGTCCACAGGGACAGCACCCCATCCTCACAAGCTGGCCTTGCTGCCAGGCACACACACAGCCTCATGTAAACCCACAGGGAAGCCAGGGGCTGCACCCGGCCCTCTGCTGGGCGGGGACAGTTCCGTCATCCTCCTGGTGTGTTTCTAAAGCCACACTGGCCACATGCTGTTAAAGAGCCTTCGAGGCCACCAGTCCAAATTGAGACGGGTCACAAATGCACAAGATGTGATTAAAAAATATGGGTAATGTTTAAATTTTTAAAACCATCACAGTAAAAGACACATTACCATAAAATCCCATAGGATCTTCCTCCTTACTTCAAACACTTATGCATTCCCTGGTCTTTGCCACTTTCTGCAGCAGCTCTGGAAATCCTCTTTCCTGAGTGACTTTAGATGCACTGTCGCGGCTGGCTCAATCTACTGAATCAATTCAAAAATTAACTTTTCATGGTCATTTTGACTTTGGGGAAGAGCCAGAGTTCACAGTGGCAGATCCAGTGAATAAGGTGGACGAGGACACAGTGTTGTGTTTTTATGAGCTGCCCTTCCTTTGGGTGGTGTTCGGCAACAACATTCACTATATTCTTAATCACACTTCATAAAGACATGCACGAAAGGAGTCTCCAGAACTGCTGCAGAAAGTGGCAGGATGATGGGATGAGTGTGTTCAAAGCAAGGGGGAGGATTTTGAGGGGAATTAACAGAATGTCTTTTACTGTAGTGCATTTTTTAATGTAAAAATTCACTGTATACTATAGTTCAATCACACTGTGTAAAATCTACAACACAGTTCAGAATTAGTGTGAAAAGAGGAACAGAAAATGTCTCATCAATAGCTTTTACAGTGATCATGGGATGACCCATACTCCTGTGGATGTATTGGATTTGCTGTCAAATTAAAATGGATTTCACCCCTTTAGTTTTACTTGTTTGACTGTGGCAATCCAGAAACTTTGCACAACACAGATTGTTAGCACATGTTACGTTGGGCAGGGCAGCTTGGCTTCTCCCTAATCCTGATTCCCAGGGCCTGGCCGCTGTTCCCAGCCCAGCCCACCCTCCTGGCACCACCCAGCCTTGCTGACCTGGAGGCCAGGGGTCCCTGAGGGTGACACAGGATTTCCATCCTGCAGCCATATCAGCGTGGGGCTGGGGACGCCGGAGGCATTGCAGGTCAGCCGGACAGGGGCGCCGAGCAGCACCGGGCCTGGCAGGCTGGGCGGCAGAGTGATTCGGGGAGGCACTGTGGGGCAGGGTGGCAAGGGACAGAGGGTGAGCTGAGGAATACAAACCACCCACAACAGCACGGACAGCCAGCCCACCCAGCAGCCAGTTCATAGATCTCTGGGCTGTTCATCTCATCCCTCAGCTCTACCAGAGAAGGCTTCCACCTGTGGGAAACTGAGGCACAAAGAGGGGAAGTCACCCAGCCAGGAAGCAGCACCTGGACTTAGGCCTGGGGCCAACAGCAGGAAGTTATCTGCCACCGGGATGCTCTGGCAGAAGAGTGGACGCCCCGACCTCTCCGCTCTTTCTGTAGCAAGCTCCAGGCCTCCAGCCTCCCTTCAATTGCTTGAATTCCCCACATCTCTGCAGATTCAAGCCCTGGAGAGCTCAGCTGTCAGAGAGGCCTCCTGATTGCCCCAGTGACCAGCGTGCAGTGGACCTCACATTTCCTAGTTCTCATCACAATGTCATAGATTTGCACTTTGAGTCATGCTCTAATTACTAAATCCTACGTTAGATTGAATTATTTCAGGCCTTTCTTACTCAGGGGCACAGTGCCAGGGACTTCCCAAGAGCAAGTACTCAGTAAATGTGG